GAGCGAAAATCTCTCATCATCCAGTCCTGACCCACCTACTTCTTCTAATGTCCCGCGGAAATCTATACATACTCGTCCAACTTCACATAATACTGCAAAGAAGACCCCTCCATCACCATGCTGGCATTGTGGCGCGTGGCACTTTGTAAAGTCTTGCCCATACAAAAATCATCGTTGCAGCAAGTGCAAAATCATCGGTCATAAAAATGGGTTTTGTCAGCCACGCCAACTCAGATATCATAATCCAGCAAAAGCTCAACAAAATGTCGGTCCTAAATCTCCAAAAAGATCACTGAGTCTACGTGCAACCTGTCAAGTCACAACACCAGCTATGCGGAAATATATTGACCTTCAGATGAATGGTCATGATACTCGTCTGCAGCTAGATACTGCCTCTGATATTACTGTTATATCAGAGAAACTTTGGAATTATATTGGCAGACCACCTATCACCAATACTTCCCAGTCTCTTCTCAGCGCCTGTGGTGGGCGGCTCAAACTAATTGGTGAACTCAAATGTTCTGTTTCCTTCCGCAATACCAAATTCACAGGAATTTGTTACGTCACGAAGAATGATTTAAATGTTTTGGGACTTGATTGGTTCCATCGTTTGCATCTGGCTGATGTCCCACTAAATTCGCTATGCAATGCAGCCAAGAAGCATAAAATGTTGGACAATTCCGGACGAAGCCGAAGCCGCAAACCCAACAGTCAGACGAAACGACAGGCGTCAACAACAAGCCCAAAGGTCCCAGATAAACCCCCAGGTAAACATCCTACTAATCATCCATCTTCTCAAAAGGGGAGGTGATATGTATCCACATATATATATTTATGTGTGTGTGTGCATGTTGGTCTCTCTTTCTGTTTGCTCGGTTAGTCTGTGACCACTTCACTTGTATGGACTTGTCTCCTTTAATAATGTGTATTCTCCTTATATTATATTATATATAATATGAGTGTTTGTTGACAGTCCGTTGCTTGGTGACATATATCCATATATGTTTGTTGGCATGTCTGCTATATTCGCTATGTATAATTGGATCGACACTCCATTATAATTAGCCATTCATGTTAAGACTGTCTAATGATTTTTCCCACGCTTGTCTGAATTATTTATATATATTCGCATTCACAATTTGTGTGAACTACTTTACTTTACAACTACTTTACTTACTTACCACTTTGGTGTGAGACCATTTATTTTCGTCTCCTTGTGTTTGGACAATAGAAGTATCATCGCAAACCTAGTGGTCTTCTGATTTCCGCCTTCTCGCGTCAGGACTATTAATTTCTCGACCAGTCCATAACAATAATTCAGCGACGAGTACATAACAATTTGGCGACGGGGAAACTAGAACATAACAATTTGGCGACGGGGAAAACTACTATTAACCACTCAGCAGCAGCAACATAACAATTTACTATGGATCCTATTAAATTGGAATTATTGTTTGAACGACAAATGAAATTAATGGAAATGTTCGTCAACCAACAGACTGGTCCAGCTTCACCTTCAAGCAATCCCAATCATACCATGCTACCATCTGTCGACGGCATTGTGAACAGTATTTCACAGTTCAATTATGACCCAGAGGCTAATGTCACTTTTGACACATGGTATCAACGTTATGAGGATTTATTCACTGTTGATCTCGCCTCACAAGACGATGCTTGGAAGGTGCGAGTGTTGTTACGTAAATTGGGTCCGGCAGAATATGAACGGTACTGCAACCTAATTTTACCACAGAAACCACGTGACAATTGTTTCGATGATACAATAAAGTTGCTGCGTGAACATTTCGGAGACCACTCCTCATTATTCAGTATACGTTATCGTTGCCTCAAGCTGGCAATGAATGAAAATGATGATTTTCTTACTCACGTTGGCACAGTCAACCGAGAATGTGAGAGATTTCGACTCAGGTCCTTAACAGATGATCAGTTCAAAGCCTTGATTCTCATATGCAGTCTCCAATCTCCTCGTTTCACAGATATCCGAACTCGACTGCTCAATCAGCTAGAACAAAATCCCAAGTTAACATTACATGACATAGCTGATGAATATCAACGGCTGATTAATCTGCAGAAAGACACACACCTGGTCGAATCAACACCTTCGAGAAGCTCTGATATTCGTGCATTACGAAAGAGCGAAAATCTCTCATCATCCAGTCCTGACCCACCTACTTCTTCTAATGTCCCGCGGAAATCTATACATACTCGTCCAACTTCACAAAATACTGCAAAGAAGACCCCTCCATCACCATGCTGGCATTGTGGCGCGTGGCACTTTGTAAAGTCTTGCCCATACAAAAATCATCGTTGCAGCAAGTGCAAAATCATCGGTCATAAAAATGGGTTTTGTCAGCCACGCCAACTCAGATATCATAATCCAGCAAAAGCTCAACAAAATGTCGGTCCTAAATCTCCAAAAAGATCACTGAGTCTACGTGCAACCTGTCAAGTCACAACACCAGCTATGCGGAAATATATTGACCTTCAGATGAATGGTCATGATACTCGTCTGCAGCTAGATACTGCCTCTGATATTACTGTTATATCAGAGAAACTTTGGAATTATATTGGCAGACCACCTATCACCAATACTTCCCAGTCTCTTCTCAGCGCCTGTGGTGGGCGGCTCAAACTAATTGGTGAACTCAAATGTTCTGTTTCCTTCCGCAATACCAAATTCACAGGAATTTGTTACGTCACGAAGAATGATTTAAATGTTTTGGGACTTGATTGGTTCCATCGTTTGCATCTGGCTGATGTCCCACTAAATTCGCTATGCAATGCAGCCAAGAAGCATAAAATGTTAGACAATTCCGGACGGAGCCGAAGCCGCAAACCCAACAGTCAGACGAAACGACAGGCGTCAACAACAAGCCCAAAGGTCCCAGATAAACCCCCAGGTAAACATCCTACTAATCATCCATCTTCTCAAAAGGGGAGGTGATATGTATCCACATATATATATTTATGTGTGTGTGTGCATGTTGGTCTCTCTTTCTGTTTGCTCGGTTAGTCTGTGACCACTTCACTTGTATGGACTTGTCTCCTTTAATAATGTGTATTCTCCTTATATTATATTATATATAATATGAGTGTTTGTTGACAGTCCGTTGCTTGGTGACATATATCCATATATGTTTGTTGGCATGTCTGCTATATTCGCTATGTATAATTGGATCGACACTCCATTATAATTAGCCATTCATGTTAAGACTGTCTAATGATTTTTCCCACGCTTGTCTGAATTATTTATATATATTCGCATTCACAATTTGTGTGAACTACTTTACTTTACAACTACTTTACTTACTTACCACTTTGGTGTGAGACCATTTATTTTCGTCTCCTTGTGTTTGGACAATAGAAGTATCATCGCAAACCTAGTGGTCTTCTGATTTCCGCCTTCTCGCGTCAGGACTATTAATTTCTCGACCAGTCCATAACAATAATTCAGCGACGAGTACATAACAATTTGGCGACGGGGAAACTAGAACATAACACCACCACTGGCTCTTTTCCAACCTGCACCTATATCAGCTAGTAATGCCCGTCGTCGGGGGAGGCGATGGTTAGGCATGCGCAGCACCTGACCTAGCCATCTCAATCTATGTAACTTTATAGCCTCGTCGATTGGTTTTCCCTCTTTCCCTGCCCAACACTCTACGCCTAACGTCAACATTACTTACCTTATTAAACCACCTAACGTGAGACAGAGATCGCATATATCGCAGGCCATCAACGAGTGGGTCGTCGGTGCAAGGGTGACATGGAGGAAATCGTGTGACGAGGAGGAGATGAGAGATTATGGGCAATCGTGGACCCAGGTGAAGAGGACAGCAACAAAATAGAACAAAGTGGAGATGTACTACTGAAGCCCTATTTTCCACTCGGAGCCCAAGGGAATATAACAAAAAATAACTTATAAAACACAAAATAATCGAGGAAAGAAGAATATCCTTTTCGGTAACTTCCTCTTCTCGCTCTACAATTAGATATATCTGTATGTTTATATGCATAGAATATTCTAGAATAGTAGTCAATACCAATATTAGTGTTTTTTCAAATAATATCGATTTGTAAAGTAAGATCACAATGGAATTACAGTTCATTAAAGATGCTTAAATTATATTAATAATAATAATAAAGATATAATAGCGAATAGAATATCAACTAAAATTAGGAAAATTCCACAAAAATTGAGGATCATTCAAACCTAGATGGCCAATGGGGTAAGGATAATGTCTGAACTAGCTTCTTTTGAACGCACAAATTAGGCTTGTTAATATGGATCGCAAGCAATATTTAGTAAACGAATTCTTAAGGCGAAATTAAGATTTGTTGGCATGAGTTAAATGACTTTGAAAGTCGCTTCGTCGACATCAATCCTGTGTTCTGTATCCAGAAGATGAGATGGAATAGCACTATGCGAATAGATTTTGTTTGCCCTTTACTTAACTAACCAGGCAGAATGGTGTTTGGAAATCCCACGAGAAACACACTTAATTCTATGGCCTATGCAGTTAACTGGCTTCACAGGAGCATGGAAGAAGTGAAATTAAACATTTTATCTTTTACTCCCGAATGCAAAAGTGGAGTGGTTTTGAATTGAAGACACAGTGCAATTCAACACCAGGGAATGCTCTTTTTACAGTATATTCTAAGACGTTGTGTTAGTATCTCGTTAATGTTGTCCCCGAGGAATTGCATTTGTAAGAATAAGGCCTGTATTAGGAACTGTTGGTACCTTGAAGTGCATTTTCATTAAGCAACCGTTTAATATTATTGATTTCCTCATGGAGGAGATCTTTTGAGAAGATGAGGCATTATGGACAATTGTGGACCCAATTAAAAAGAGGGTAAGCAGCAAAATAGAACAAAATGGAGATGTGTTTGTTGAAGTGACTCCTATGTTCCACTCAGAACCCAAGGGAATCAATAATAAGTGTCAGGAAAAAGATAAGATGAGAAATAACTTGACTTACTTTTACACTTGTTGCCAAATAAAAGTCCATGCCCGCCAATTTGATTAGGATAATCAGTTAAATTCGATGGTAGTAGTGAACTCTTTTCAAATAGGCAGTTCAATGTCTCTTCCATTTCATTATTCATTATTGTTAACAATCAATCAATCAATCATAAAGGGTTCTCTCCATATAAATAAATATCTATGATGATTAAAACACAGAGAAAAAGAAGACAAACGCTTATTAAATAAACACACCTAGATAGTTATTTAATTCGATTTTCAATTTTCCAATCGATTGATTGAACTGAAGTGCTCAGTTTCAGGTTAACATGTCAGCTCTTTATACTTCGATGACGATGTCTGATCATGTAACTTGAAGTCAATTGGTGGTGGATGGTGACTAGAATAGAGGCATCCAAGGGCTCCAAATAGAACGAAATGCGTATCCTGGATTTTACTGCTAGTCACCATCCACCAATCGACCTAGATAGTTAGATATACACAACTTATGATTAATTGACGGTGTTATCACAGGAACTCTCAAGGACTGCTCTGTTTTTGCTAGCCTTGGGACTGGATAGAAAAAGCGATCAGGCGATACCAGTATATAACGTGACGTAATACAGCATACTTTCTCATCACGCATTCACCCTTTCTAGGCAAATATATTGCCATAACAACTCTTGACCAATGGAGTCAAGTGTTGTCTTCAAGTAAAGAAGCAAGGAATGTGAAGATTTGATCAACAGTACGCTTCCTGCTTATCTTGAGTCTTCATAGGACTATAGATCCTAGAATCTTGGGTGCAATATTAGTTAGTCTGATCCCCCAATGAGTACTACTAAAAGGTCAGTTTTCTGACGAAACTGTCTCTGTGCTATCACATGCCATAGTTAATCCAGCTTACAGTTCATCACTGTCAGGCTTAGACACCTATTGAAGTGTCAAATTATCTGATCCTACTTGGGATTTTTTCTTATTCCTTTATGTTCCCAGTGCTGGAACATAAGGTTTCAAGCTAGAGCTTTGAAGTTTTGGGTAGCAGTTGCATTTATTTTTACGGAATGGGGTTGCTGGCTTCATGCCCAACCTTCCCCTCTTTAGCAGTCTTATTACCGTCTTAGCGAGGTAAAAGAGTGGATTTATTTGCCGGGGATCGGAGTCACGAACCATCTGGGTGTATGGCGAGTATTATACCGCTGTGCCACTCGCGCTCCTACTTAGGTTACTTCGTCTTAAATTAGGGATAGCTTTTGCAACCCTGAACTACAAGTGACTGACCTATGTCCACTATCTAAACTTTGGCGTTAAATCATTTTACTATGCAAGCCTAACTACCACATATAAAGGTATCAGCTATCATTTAGGTAGAATAACAATGAATAACTAACCATATCTGACAAAAACGGTAAGAAAATATGAGTCGGTGAAAGGGCAGTACACATTAAACAATCTTGTAATTTAAACTCCCCCCCCCTACACATATTTAGCCACTAGTGCTGAATAAAAAGTCGCTTTAGAAAGTAGTTATGGAACAAAAGTGTACTTAGGAATATAATATTCATTCGTTGATTTAGGATTAAGTTGGAAAAGAGTTAGGGGTGGCTAAATCAAAACCTGGCGTTAATCTGCCAAGTTTTTCACAGTCGGAAAGGTGTCGACTGCTTGGCTGGGGTCTTTGAGACTCTAAAGAAAATAACAGCCGGAGACTGCTGGTTATATGACTCAGAACCCGACTGATAGCTGGTACCTTGACATGGTGGTCGGGCTTGCATATTGTAATGACACAACAAGCTACATTGGCTGGAACCAATGTTCCTGCAGGTCCTACCATGCCAGAAAGATAGTTAGGATAGCAATTCGACTAAAGGCAGTTACCAGCATAGTGTGAGATATTTTTTGCACTGTGCTGGGGGATAAGGATGTAAGAGCAGTACGATGTTTCCCTCTAATGACCAGCATGCTGTCTCTCAACTCTGGCGAGAGGTTAGAAAAAGTCGACCCTAACAATTGTACATCCTGAGTTACCCCACCTACGGTGATCCGTAGCAGGCGATAGGTTACTAATACGGAACCAAACCAAAAATCAGTCCAGACAGGTCGTGTGTGACAGGCCTCAAGCAATTATCCCTTGGTTTCTGCGGTTTTGCAACACTAATTCTCTTTCTGGATAAGGTAACCCCTCTAAAAAAAACTCTAAACCGATCTCAATGGAGCAGATGCATTCACTCTCTGTAACCTCACAAAGTCATTGCATCTTGATGTTTCTTCATGAAGTTATTCTTTCGCCTATACATTACCATACACTATTAGTTTTTCTGAATGTTTTAGTATTTCTGTCGACATTTGTGTGCTATACGGAGTGTAACAACACGAAATGGTGCACTTCTGTGTAAAGTTCTACGTTACCGCTTGGTCAGACAGTCAGTCGGTTAGATTGGTTTCAAAATACAAAAGGAGTTCAGCATAGTTTCATACTCATATTCGCTATAGTCCTCTGTGCATCAATCGGAAGTCTAAATGCATTAGCCACTATACTACTGATAGACAACAATTAGCATAAATGAGAGAAATGTGAAGGAAGCAAAGTCGTTAACCTACCAACCTGGGAAGTATCGTTTCAACAACAGGCGGATGGAACTGATGAGGATATCAAAGCACGGGGATCGGGAAAGCAAGGCAAGCTTTTATTAGTCTCAAGTCTGTGTGGAGATCAACACTCAGCATGAAAAATAAGATGTGCATTTTCAACTCCAATGTGAAGTCAGTCAGTGCTACTATACGGATCAGAGACTTGCCGCCGCATCGCATCACGAAGGGCACTTCGAACAAACTACAGACCTTCATCAACAGCTGTCTTCGCATAATACTACTTAAGATCGGATGGCCGGCCAGAAAAGATCAGCAACAGGGAGGGATCTGTGGCAATGAACTAACCAAACAGCACAGCAGGAACCGATTGTGCAACAAATATGCAGGCAGAAATGGAGCTGGATTGATCATACTCTGAGAAAAAAAACCATCAAGTGACATCACACGCCAGGTCATAGCTCGAGTGGAACCCGAATGAGAAACGCCGAATCACTTGGTCGCCAGTGCGATGGTGACAACATGGAGGAGGAGGTGATGAGGAGAGGAGATGAAAGCATGTGGGCAGATATGCAGCCGGGTGAAAACGTTGGCGGCGAACCAAATGCAATGGATACGTGCAGCTTAAGTCCCTATGTTCCTCTAAAAACTAAAGGAGAAAATAATACAACAACAATATTGACTGATTCGAATAGTTGGACACTATTTTCATCAACCACCACCAGTAGGCTTGCTAGCCAGCCAGATCGAAGTGACCTACACACCCGATGCCCATTTCTCTCATTGGACACTGAAATCATCACCGCACTGCTTAACTCAACTCGAATAACCGAATCAGTTCAAACCACCTTTATTCCATTATATATAAAAAAAATTTTTAATAGTCACACAGTATTAAACAGTGATATTTACTGATGATGGCGTTTCCAGCACAAATTATTGCTGCTCATAATCATATCAAAGCACTAATCACACAAATTTATTGCTTCATTCATATATATATGAGTAACACTCGTTAGAAATTTGAATAAAATCAATATAAGATAAAGTACATTGGGAAATAATATTAGTGTTATCAATAAAATGCAATCAGATGGGAAATAAGACGAGTGTTTTTATGGTCAAAATAAGTAACTTGTTAGAATGTGAATTGAAATAGAATTTTAAGATTATTTATTATCCTCCTCTGATTTGACTGGTGGCAACAATATCTTCCCTATGTCTGGTATTTGCATTGAGTCATTTCTATTGCATGTGTTGGGTGTAGACTCTAAGAAAATTATTTATTTTACTATAAAAACATCTCATTTCCCATCTTATTGACTAACAACAATTGTCTTATTCTCCATCTGACTGTATTTAATTGATAACACTCATATTATCTCCGAATGTACTTCATCTTATATTATTGTTTTTATTCAAATGTCTAATCAATTTTTACTCATGTATATAAACGAAGCAAGAAAGTCGTGTGAGTAGTGCCTTGATATGATTGTAAGCAGTAGTAAATTGTGCTCGAAATATTACTGTATAACAACACTGTGTGATTTTATGAAAATAAAATTGTGTCCATAATGGAATTATACTCTACCACCAGTGTCCAAGTTTTATCCTTATAACTATCTTCTTTCAACGCGATGTTAAAGGTGATAACAGTGAAGGAGTTATCAATAGAAGAATTCATCTTATCCCATCAACCTATTGTATGGTTGTCTCTAATTGCATGTAGTGAGTGCTGTAGCTGAATTATTCTCTAGACCCGAATAAGATAAGAAGCCTAGAGAATAGTTCAGCTATACCACTCACTACATGCAATTAGACACAGCCATACAATAGGATGATGATAAGATGGAAGTTTTAAAACATAATGTAACAACGGGGTGGAGGGAGAGATTGATAACAGGAGCTTTGTTTATCGAATCAACTAAAAAAGAATGCGTGTAATAGGAATGGTTCAAAACCTGTCCAACCTGACATCTGGAAAATTCTAGTACTCCTACGACGATAAACAGGAGATAACAAAGAAAACTATAAAAGTCAAGTTTCGAAGTCGTGTGATTATAATTGATATGATTATGAACAATAATGAATTGTGTTCGAAACGTCATCCAGTAAATGATATTGTTTCACTGTGTGATATATCTAATAAAAAAACTAATATGGAATTACTTACTACCATAGTGCCCAAGTTTTACACATACATTAATATAACCTCAATATTATCCACTATTTTATACCGCTTATAAATATATTTACATGACTTACCTATGAAGCTGAGACTGTAGTATTTCACTGACTCGACTGTTTTTGTCTTCTTCTTCTTGTATGCAGTATTTCAAGATTTTGATGTTAGATGAACTAGTTGCAGAGATTTATGTAAAACTGGTCTTAACAACTGACGTATCAAGCATGGAATAGTGTGCAACTATAGTTTCTATTTTCTAGAACTACGAATACCGTCTTCAATAATTATCCAATTCAAAGGCATGTTACAAGGCAACACAACACGTGTTATAAATTATCTATGATGCGTTATGTTTTCAAGTACTTAGGTTACTAACTTTAAAATAGTAGAAAGGAGTGACGTTTGAACTGTCTACTCAATACAGAATAACACGAGTCTCAAAGATGATAGATGCACACCTGAAGAGAATCGGTGTAACACATGAGGGTAAATTCAACTTGTATTGTTTTAAACCAAAAATTTCTACACCAGTCAAAATCGTTAATTATTTAAGAGTTAAGAGTATTTGTTATGAACTATAATATTACTCTCCCTATTTGCTCTATACTTTTGTTTTGTGCATCACTGATTCAGTGGTTGAGTGTTTATCAGCCATACAGGTCAATTTTCCATTCTCTGTGAACATAATTCTAAACATTGCCTAGGCATCAGTAAGCCAGTAAAAGATGGAAGTTAGGTAGTGAGGCTAACATTTCCATCCAATGAAAAGAACAACACCATCGCTACTTCAGAGACTAAAGGCTTATAATACACACGGAAGACAACGTATGAAAAAAAACGCTCCATTTTACACCATTCCATGTTATTCATTTGATGAAATTTTATTTGGATTCTATACTGATTGATTTTTAGTGGACTGAAATGTCGGGTCAAACATCTGATTCGTGTTGGAAAAGAGGTAGTTTTCGTGACTCAGTGGTTCAGTAGATAGCATTTTGGTGCTTGACATGAAGAGTGATAGATTCAAGCCTCGATCGGAATACCATTACTTACTGGGAGTGCAATTATTTAAACATTGCAAGTCTCAAACAGGATAAAACGTGCATCTGGGATTGCACTGTTGGCCACCATTAATCAAATAGTGGTGAAATTAAACTTTCATAGCTAAAATCAGTGACCTTTGGCAAACAATCAGAATTCAGATAAGAAAAAGTAGCATAGTCCTTAAAACATCTGTTAATAAACCTTACAAACATGATATTGCGTTGGATTATTACTTCTTATGTGTTGTAAGAATGTATTCAAGTTAATCTAATGATAATCCATACAGAAATTACACCATATGGGATAGATGTAATCAAGGTGACTGTAGATCATGGTACTTTGAGAACTATCGATATTCTTAGCGCTGTTCTTTAACCCACTCATAATTTTTTACCTAACACCAAACCTTAAAATAAATCCTAAAAACACTAGTCCTGACTAAGAGAAAAGACTTACAGAAAAAAGTAAGTAGGGTATAACTGAAATACTGCACCTGTCCTCATCGAATTTGGAAAAGCATATGTGATTTGAATTGGTATGACTTAAGCCTGGTTGATTCTTCAAGGTCAACTTTTGACAAACCCTTCAGTTCGGCTATCATAGTTTAATTCCACTCAAATACTATCCTGTCTCTGTTTAATCCTTCAATTTGGATCAGTTTATTCAAGTTTTACCCCTTCTGGTGTGGTAGCTTGATGACAAGTTCTATGTCGAAAACAGACACAGCTTGATGACAAAACCATAATATACGAGTGCTGACATTGCATGTATGTGACGATTATTATCTCTTTTCTTTTGACGACGGATACCGGAGAACTAACTGGTGAAAGGATCAACTCCATTCACAGTGGTAACAGTCTTAACACACCTCATATTACAAACCACATATAATTAATCCCAGCACTACTCCTTTTGGAGTCAACCAAAGCTACGACAGTCGAGTGGCGGGACGAGATACGCAGAAGTTTACCGAAGATCAGGAACCTATACCTTACAATCAAGAGGCGAGCACAAAGAAATCAAATTGGTTTATACTAGCTCGTAAATTGGATATTGGACCATAGTATTTAATTGTTTACTGTATGTCTGGGCTATACAAATTTACTCGCATGCGTGATCTAATACACACATAGCTAAGAAGTACAGTGGCGTCAATTGAGTACAACTTACGCTGATTTAAACGACTCAAAATTCTTCTTCTCTCTTCTCTTCAATTCTCAGCTTTAATCGAAATGGCAAACATTTTACATCGTGACTAAAAAAATGAAAAGGTTTCATAAAAGCCTCTAACCCTTAGTCTAGATAGAGTAACAAGATGTTCTGTTTACTAATGAGTGTTCTTATGCATATTACAGCACTAGAAGAATTTTGAGAAACTTATTTAGGTGTATATATATGTATATATATATATAGCTCATTTATACGTTTCATGTAACAAAACACATACCCTGTTACCCTATTTTAACTAAGAGCTAGCTATGGGATTTATAAATTGCTTACATTTTTCAGACACTTTAGACGTGACATTACATTATCGAAGATCCTATGTACACTCACTATTCTGTAGGGCAGTTATACACATAAGAAACTAGTTATATACTCCATAATGACGCGCAAGAGAATTTTACACAGCAAAACGCCCACACTTAAGATATTCACAAAAATCTTTAGGTGTATTTAGCTGCATCGTCATTAAATACTTAATATAAACAGTGAAAAACAAACTAATTACCATTTCTGACTCATGATAACGTCTTATCAGCTTTTATGCGATAATGCAATTATTCATAAGCCAATTGTGATAGCAGTCTGTCGTCGCTGTGATTTACTGCAATCACACAAACCAGATACGAAGCTTACAATGCTGAAGGTGACAACAAAACTGAAAATGGCGCACCACCTAGAAATAGCGATTGAATTAGGTCTAATAAACTAAACTAAATCTAACAAGTATTTTTAGTTTGACCCCTATTGCAAGAAATTAGAAATCTCATAAAAGTGCTTTGTGATGTGCTTGTTAAAAGCTGATTATTTCATTTTGTTTTTGGAACGATTCTAGGTCTTTGGCTGCTTGCGCTAAAAGGAATCTGTCTCCCTGTCTACTGAAGTTGTGCTGCACACAATCAGATGACGCACATTAATCTGGAAGAGGACTTATTATACTACTTTCATCTGTTTCTTTAGAAAAGACTAAAGGCAAGATGTAAACTGGTGCTTTTTGGGCACGCCGTATATACAGTTCACTTATTATTATTATTATTATTACTATTATTGTATCCTTTAGTTCCTAGAGGAACATAGGGCCTCAGCCACACACGTCCCCATTGCCTTCTGTATTCTGTCAACTTTTTCGCCCCGCTCCAGGTCTGTCCACATGCTTTCATCTCCTCCTCGCATGACCTCCTCCAAGTCACCCTTGTACTGACGACCAACTCGCCGCTTCCCTTTCGGGTTCTACTCGAGCGATGGCCTGTCTAGTGATGTGACTTGATGGTTTCCTCAGCGTATGGCCAATCCATCTCCATTTCTTCCTGCCTATTTGTTTCACAGTCGGTTCCTGCTGTGTTGGTTCGCTCATTGCCAGATATTCCTATTGCTGATCTCTTCTGGCCATCTGATCTTGAGTTGAGCGAAGACAACTGTTAATGAAGGTCTGTAGTTTGTTGGAGATGCTCTTTATGACTCGCTGAGTCTCTGATCCGTATAGCAGCACTGACTTTATATTGGAGTTGAAAATCCGGATCTTATTTTTGATGCTGATTGCTGTTGACCTCCACACAGATTTGAGAGTAATGAAAGCTTGCTTTTCCGATTCTGGATTTGATGTCCTCGTCAGTTCTGCCTGTAGGTAGGTGAAGGAGGCTGTTTCTTTCAGGTTCCTTCCATTTCTGCTGGCTGATTGTTGTCTGTTGTTGTTGTTGCTATTGGCCAGGAATCTTCATCATCTCTGTTTTATCTATGTTCACTTGAAGTCCTATCTTTGATGATTCTTCTGCCTCCAACTTGTTGCTTTTCACTTGCATATCTTCTAGTTTGTGGGAAATCAGACATATATCATCGGCGAAGTCCAGATCCAAGTTTTTTGTGTGAGTCCATTTTATGCCTGTTTCTGCATTGCCCACTGTCTGTCGCATTATCCAATCTACTGCAATCAGGAAAATCATTGGCGATAGTAGACATCCTTGCCTCACTCCCATCCTCACTTCGAAGGCTTCCGTAAGTTTCCCGTTGTGGATTACTTAGCGTGCAGCATTGTCGTATAACTGTTGGATGAGATGTATAATTGTCGATGGCACCCCTTTGGTAGTAGCGAAGTAGGTACCAAATGACCTCTCGATCGACGCTGTCTGTCGAAGGCCTTTTTAAAGTCGAGTGAGTTGAGTGAGGTGGAGAGGTGACTGCCATTCCAAGCTTTGTTCAATGATGATCGTAGAGTGGCGATTTGATCAATACATGATTTGTTTCTCCTGAATCCGGCCTGTTCCGGTCGAAGTTTTTCATGCAGGGTTTGTTTGATCCTCTCCAGGATGATGCGACTTAGTATTTTGCTTGGGATGGACAGAAGCATAATTCCACGCCAGTTTTGCATTGACTTAAGCCTCCTTTCTTTGGTAGTTTGAATAAGTGTCCGCTCTTCCAATCCTCGGCCACTTTGCCCTCTTTCCACACCTTCTCCAGCAATAGCGTCATCAAGTCCGCTGTTGTCTCTGGGTCTATTTTCAAGGCTTCTGCTGGGATTCCATCTGGTCCTGCTGCTTTCCCAGCCTTTAGCATTTCGATTGCATACAGGACTTCTGATTTCGTCGGGCGGTCGATGTTTACTGGTAGTTCTGCTCTCGTTGTTGGTATTGTTGGGCGCGTTGTAGGTGGCGGACGATTTAGAAGTCTTTTGAAGTGTTCAGCCCAGTGTTTTCTTTGCTCTACTTCTAAGTTGATTGACTTTCCATTGTCATCCTTTACTGGCTTAATCTGTGTCGAACTTTAGCCCGATAGGTGCCTAGTTGTTTGGTAGAGTGTGGCGAGGTCTCCTTTGCCTGCAGCTTGTTCTGTTTCGTTTGCCATGGCTTCATAATATTTTCTTTTGTCTTCCCTGGCACTCTTCTTTACTCTTTTGTTCAGCGTGTTGTAGCTTGGATTCAACTCCTGTTTTTGTTGCTCGTCGGTGCACTGGATAATATTTTGTTTCACCATCTGTCAATCATGTCTCATAAACCGTTAATGCCCAGCTCTTGCTACACCGGGCCTCTCGCTGTCCCTTGAAGCCTTTCAGAAACGCTTAGTATTAACGGACGCGAAAACCAGAACACCGATTGGCGACTCGAGAATTCTTTATTCTAACACCAACATATAATCAGCATTACTGGCATTACAGACTAAGTTCTAAGAAGAAATATTACAACAATAAGTCACGATATTACTTCTGACAGTTTTTCTCTTCTTTCTGAACAGTGACCGATGAGACGATGACTGGTGTATTGATGCCTCCACGAAAACATAGGTACGTTGAGTTTGAGCAAAAAACCATGGTTTGATCGTTCAATCTTCAACTACATTGACACTATCCCTCTCTCTTCTATTAGTTTCCAAGTGTCTGCAGTGAGCCACTGTTTGTCCCGTCTCTTCTTTCTGCTTAGAACTTCCATGCAGGTTTGACTCCACACCGTTTTCAAGTTGTCCCAGTGCTTTTCGACGCTGATCTTTTTGCTGGTGTTGATTTGTGTCTCGGCTTTTTCCCTTATGTTTGCAATGAAGATGTCCTTTGTAGCCTGGTCCTTCAGTATTTGAGTGTTGAACTTGGCTTGTGGTCTATCTGCAGCTCCTGTTTCCCTGTAAGCTTTTAATTTGATTTGGATTGTCCCTTGTACGAGATAGTGGTGTCAATGGAGTTGAAGATTGAACGATCAATTCTTGGTTGTTTGCTCAAAATCAACTTCCCAAATTTTCGCGGAGGCATCAATACGACAGTCATCGTCTCATCGGTCGCTGTTCAGAAAGAAGAGTAAAACATCGTCAGAAGTAATCTTATGATTTATTATTGTAATATTTGTCCACAGACCTTAGTCATACTTGATTTATATGTTGGTGTAACAATACATAATACTCAAGTCAACAATTGGTGTTTTGGTTTTTTCGTCCGTTGTTACTGAGCGTTTCTGAGAAACTTCAAGCGACAGCGTGAGTCCGAGCGTAGCAGGAGCTGGGCATTAACGGTTTACGAGACGTGACTGACAGTTTCTGACGATAGAAACAGATCTGGCGGATTCAAACAGTTGGTGAAAGTTTGGATAGTCGCCGTTCATTTTTCCTGGTGCTGGTCAAGTCCTCTTTGGACAAGCCATATCTGGAACCTTTTTGGAATTGGGTCAAGTTCAACAATGCCTGGGTCAAAGAAGGGACAGTGTGTCTTGGATGCAAACAGGAAAGTAAGTCACGGTGACTTGTCTGTTAATTGTAACGATGTGTCTGATGTTAAGTATGACATGGTTGATGTTACTGTTTCGCCATTCAGGGATAATAGGAACATCAAACTCCCTAAATTAGAACCACGGTGTTTTGATGGAAACCCAGCTGATTATTTACAATTTGTAAAGGAGTTTGAGATCATGTTGAGTGGTTTTTCATTAACTGATGAAATGAAGTTAATGTATTTGATGAGGTATTGCACTGGAATTGCTGCAAGAGCTATACAGTGTTGTAAGTTTATGAAGCCAAAAGAGGGCTACTACGAGGCTATGAGCATATTACGTCAAAGGTTTGGAAGACCTTCAATGATTGTAAGGAACGTATACGAAGCTGTCAAAGGTAATGGCAGTCAACTTCAAGATGACTCCAAGGCACTTACTGAGTTTTTAGATAATCTTATGACTTATAAGAATACCTTGATTTCTATGAATTGCAT